TTAAATTATAAAATAAAGCAAATATGAGAAAAAAATACACAGAAAAACAATTGTACCAACCTAAATGTATCAAAATAATACCATTTTTTTAAGTCACCCGATAGCTAGAAAATTTTTTAAAGTGAATGTAGCTTTGAATCGCTACGTAGCGAAATCTTAGTAGCGCTGTCGCTATTTGTAATGCCACTCCTGCTATGGGATTCCGTTTAGCAACGGCGCTAAGTAGTGCTACGCTACGCTTAGCTACTCTACGGATTCTTCTAATTAAAAAACAACTTAAAAACAGGGTAGTACAACACAGTACAGTACAGTACAGTACAGTACAGTACAGTACAGTACAGTACAGTACAGTACAGTACAGTACAGTACAGTACAGTACAGTACAGTACAGTACAGTACAGTACAGTACAGTACAGTACAGTACAGTACAGTACAGTACAGTACAGTACAGTACAGTACAGTACAGTACAGTACAGTACAGTACAGTACAGTACAGTACAGTACAGTACAGTACAGTACAGTACAGTACAGTACAGTACAGTACAGTACAGTACAGTACAGTACAGTACAGTACAGTACAGTACAGTACAGTACAGTACAGTACAGTACAGTACAGTACAGTACAGTACAGTACAGTACAGTACAGTACAGTACAGTACAGTACAGTACAGTACAGTACAGTACAGTACAGTACAGTACAGTACAGTACAGTACAGTACAGTACAGTACAGTACAGTACAGTACAGTACAGTACAGTACAGTACAGTACAGTACAGTACAGTACAGTACAGTACAGTACAGTACAGTACAGTACAGTACAGTACAGTACAGTACAGTACAGTACAGTACAGTACAGTACAGTACAGTACAGTACAGTACAGTACAGTACAGTACAGTACAGTACAGTACAGTACAGTACTGTACTTATATTACAATTTAAAAAAAACGAACAATCATCTCCATGCTTAACATAAACATTTATTTTAACCCTTTTATAACCCTTGGATACATTGTAAACAATTTTTACCGCCATCTTAAATAATTATGGTAACGAAAACTAAAAAAAATTTGATTTTTTGAAAAAAACTCAGTGTATTCTCCTCTTAAGTGAATTTCAATTTGTGTTATAGCTAGTGACTTTGCGCTACGCTCCGAAGCGATTACACCGTAGCGATTTGGAACAAAATCTTGACCAATTCGCTAACTCGTAGCGCCGATAGACTTTGTTTTTTATCTTACACGCCACTAATTAATTTTTTTGACAAAATTCAAACGGGAGTTGATCTTGATTATCATATACAATAAGTCTGTAAAAAAAATTAATTTTTTAGTGCTAATTAATGCAATGCGCTACTTAGCGCCGTTGCTAAAAGGAATCCCATAGCTGTTACTTTATAGATGTCATTTGATTCAGTTTTTATAATTTTCTTAACAAGTTTCAAGTTGACTGCATCGTTTTCATTAATAGCATCAGCAACATGACATAGTTTTTTATTTTCCACATTAAAATGTCCTTCATATGTAAACTTAAAACCAAGTTTTGGAGGCCCGCGATTTAGAGTTTCTGTACTCTTAACCTGACGACCGAATATGTCGATACTCATCTTGTAAAATAGGTTGAATTACATAAAACTGAGTTAATAAATAATTCTCGCTTCACGTAATTCCTTAATTATAGATATAATTTCATTATTATGACTAGGATTTCCTGCAGTTTGAGAAGCTAAAAGTAATCGCAAGCGGTCTACCAATTCATTTGGATCATCCTAATAAATTAAGTCAATATTTGCATTTTTTTGTCAATCATATACTCTGGTATTAGTCTTCCACCAAGTCTCTTTTTTCAGGTTTTTGGAGATGATAATTTTTTTGCAATAAAATTTTGAAATATAAAACTTTTATTTTCCCGAATATTTTCTTCAGATTTATAATATATTTTTGTGCTCATTAGTTGAAATAACAATATTTACACAATTTTCTAGATCATATAAACTAATAAAATTTTCTTTTGGTATTTTTTTAAAATAAAAGTTCAAGTAAACCCCTCGTTGCTGGATAAATTGACTTGTTTGTTATGATATTATTTTCTTGAAAACTTATAGGTGATTCACCAATCATGAACCTTCCTTTAGCTAATTTTCGAACACCATATATACTATCTAAATCTTTTTTCTTTTTGTTTAATAAATGGAAATAATCACTTATAATTGTTTCCTTCACACTATCTGTTGAATTTATAGTTTTTGAACTATTTATGCTTTTGTCTAAAGATGCAGTTTTAAATGACATGTCATTATCATCAATGTTATTTTAACTTATGTCAGAAATGTCTATTTCTTTCAATTCTTCTTTCAATCCTTGTTCATTTTGTATTTCTTTTTTTGTTTCGGTGGATATTATTTTTAACTACTTTAAATTCGTCAGCTAATTTTTGAATTGGAGTCACTATTGGTTTAAATGTATTATTTAGTGATTGTTCAATTTCTTCTTTACCTAATTGAATCAATTTATATTTGCGTCGAATCGCATTACTTGGTTTAGCAATTTCACCCAAAATATTTTTTTGCTTTCGCAAATTTTCTACATGTGAAAAATTCACGTTGTTTCTTCAAAGAATGCAAAAAAGATCATCATATATATGTTTGAGATTCATTTCATCTTGTCTAAATAAAATTAATTTTGCAACGCATATAATATTAAGGGGAGATTACGGTGATTTTTTTCAAAAAATGTAAATTATTTTTATTCATTTTTGGTTAGTATAACTATTTAAGAACACGGAAAAATTAGTTTAAATTATTTCCAAGGTCTAGAACTGATATAAATTGAGTAGCAACATGCAACAACTCACCGTACGCGCGAACGCACGCGTTTATACCGGTCGGGTATCAGTAAATGGCCTAGAGGCACTCACTGCTACTTGACTGGCATTAGATTACTTAAAAATAATTTTTTAGAAGCCAAAGAAGCATCTGTGTATCGAGTCGGTATCGCCGATTAAGTAAGAATCACTTTTTTGTTTAATTTCTACTTAAAAAACTTTAAACACGTCTTTCTCAAAACTGAACATTTTCAACTTTGTCACACTCTCATTTTAAAACTATTCAACTAATTAACTTCAAATCTGGACAGTATGTTCCTTGCATCTGTAGTTTTCGTGTAAACTAGAATTTTTAAAATCCATTAATATTTTTAAAACTTATAAACAATTTAAGTTGCAAAATTGTTGTCGAAAAATGAAAAAAGTCTGCCAATCGTTCCTTTTTTAAAAAATATTTCTCATTTTAGTTTATACGATAGCCAAAATAGTATAAATTAAGAGAATTTTGTTTTTTTCATTTTAGATTAACTATTTCAGAGAAAAAGTATGACAAACTTTTAAAATGTACCACATTCGGCAGCCATTTTTTATTGGATTGTTTAAAAAAACAAAAATTGTTTTAAACTTTTTAAAATATATATTCTATCATAAAAAAAATTTTAACTAATAAAAAATTTTTTTACTATAAAAAAAATCTTTGAAAACAACTTCAAAATTACCGTTATCTCCCATTAAGAAACAAAATTTATAAAAATAAATACACGAGATGATTCAAAATAATAGTAAATTATAAAAAATAAGTAATAAAACTAATTGATAAGTCATAAAAATATAAATAAATCTTGCCGTTGATATAAAATGAATTTTGATCACGTCACATTCACACCCATTTACTCCAATATATCACAATAAAATAAATAGAACGAAATACAATTTTTTTTAACAAAATTGGTAGAATTAATATATAAAATAAAAAATATAATTAAATGATCAAAACAAATGTGGATAAATAAAATCAAGAATTATCTACTTATCGCTTACTTTCTGGAGAATTCTCAACAGCATGGTTCGGTCCAGGCTCGGAGACGGCGTCAGTAATTGAAGGCCAAAATAGCCATTGTACTTAAGGTTCCAGCGAATCCTTGGCGTAGCCCTTGGCCACTTATTTAGATAAATTGTTGACCCTATTTTTTGTTAAAGCTGATTATGCTCAATAGACTTGGATTACACCCTTATGAGTCTCTCCCAGGATTCAACAATGAATTTATTTACCCACAATAAATTAATAATTAACGCCACACTAAAGAATATAAAATTTTGCAAATTATAATAGAAATAAAACATTTAATTTAATCATTAAAAGAAACAATAACTATTGGACTGTTACCTCGAGGTCATCGGCGTTGCACATCGTAGCGTGGCGCGGAAATACCCAATATAATTTTTCGAATAAGTGAGGAAGAGACTCAGAAGGGCGATCATTTTATTAACACAGTGGCATTCTCCCCCAATAAGGCTTTTCTCCGAACCAAAACGTTTTTTCACGAACCGAGAACCTAGTTCCCCGAAATCCGTCGCCAAATGCTACCATACAAATTGCCTACATAAACGCGCATAGTCTCTCAAGATTCATCGAAATATAATTCTTACACAACTTGGGAGTTGGTATACGGAATCCTGGATTCTGATATACAACTTTTTTTATAAAAAAGATTCATGTGAAAGAAAGGATTAAGTGACCATATATAATAAGGAGTCACAAAATAATTAGAGGAATAATCTTATGTTGAGAGTTCTTTTTTACAAGGTAAACGATAAATTTAAATGTATATCTTAGTGTAAGTCATAATTTATATATATTATATATTAATAGTTCCTGTTTGTCTCCAAATATTGTAGAAGGAAAATTTTTAATTTAATAAATTTTAATCTAAAATTCTCTAAATTGAAATATAAAAATTCCTATTTAATACTGTTTGCATTTTTATAAATAACTCATTAGGGTCTTTTGTTTGGTCTTAATTCCAATGAATTTGGCCTAATGTAATCCAAATCAGTTAGGAATTTTAACCAATGCCAAAATGTGATTCCGTCATTTTAGCACATAGAAAAAGTTAAGATACAAACAAAAACATTTTAAGTAGACGTTTTATATATTTAAAATTTTAAAATACAATAGAGGATGGAGAGATCTAACAGAAGATCAGAGAGGGTATTTGATTCAAGTGATGCCGCCAGCTGATCTCGTTCCGGATATTATAAGGCAAATTTGCCTATTATCAATTGAGACCACAACAGAAACCAATAAATCAATTGACAATGCAATGATTCTTTTCACCGATGATTTCATGGTGGATCATAAGTACAAAAGTCTTCTGTTGAATGTTCCAACACGTCACGTAATGGTGAACATCGAAAATAACGAAGAAATGGCACGGAAACAAATAGTAAGACTCCGAGATTTGGACATTGTTCATTTCTTCATTATGGGCAATGAAGAGACAATTTGCATGGCTTTAAAAATCGCAGAGTCACAAAACTACACTGGTCGCTTTTACTCATGGTACATGATAACGCTAGATGAATTTACACCAGTCTGCGATAGGAACAATGTTTCGCTAATCTTCATCAAGCCGGTATACAATGAATCACGGTTAGCTAAAATAAATTCGAAAAATCTGCCAAAGCCACTAATCAGCTCCGCCTTTTACTACGATTTGACACAAATTGCAATTTTGGGAATGAAAGCAGCTATAGATACTGGAAAATGGCCTGAGATACGGGAACAGATAACTTGTGAAGAGCATAATGGTATGTAAATTATGATAAATGGTTATTTTTTTTTATTTTCGATTTGTATATTCGTACATATGACTGCTATTTTATTTTTTCAATATATACTAAAAATAAGTAAGATGTTGTTACGTCTAAAAATTTATTTTTTTATTGTTTTTTGTGCTATTTTATCTTCCCTGGTTTATATTACCTGCTTCTTTATTATACTAAACTTTAAATAAATTGCCTAATATTGGAAAACACACTAGTTGTACCTGGTTTGATACATTATATGGTTCAGAACACGCCTTTATGTTACATCCTAATAAAAAAATCATACATATTTTGATCCAAATAGAAAATTATGTTTCTAGTTAAGTTTAATTAAAGAATTTATTTTTTCAGATACAAATATACCGAAAAGAAATCTAAGTCTTCTACCGTTATTGAAGGCTGTGACCGAAGGTAACGATTTTACACCAACCTATGCAGATTTTCTTTGGGGTAATGAAAATGGGGAACACAAAATGGATTTTAATGTAACCGTGAGCATAACAGATATACTTGAAAAAAAAGTTGCAAGAAACGAGTTAGTCGCCACGTGGATTGTTGACGATAGTAAATCTATGGAAGTAAGTAATCTTAAAAAAATTAAATAGAAATATAAAAAAATTTAATTAAGAATTAAGAAAAATTAAAATGCATCATATATTTATTTTTCTCGTTTATTAGGCATTTTACCTTATGACGCCACAGTCTACTGAAGTCGATCTCTGAAGGGACAACAAACAAAATGAATAAAATGAAAGTGTCAAACAAGTATTTTTAAGGTTAACTGAAATTGTCAGCAGTCATTCTTTTCTAATTATATATTATGTTTGTTGTCTCTCCAGAGATCCAGCTAATCGGTCCACCATATTTCAAAATGAAGTTTCCTAAAATACTTATGATTAGTACATTTTTGTAAAAATATTTTTGACGATAATCTAGTTAACAAAAATAAATTTAAAGAAAATTTTTGTTTCTTGTACATGAAAAGATAATAAAACCTGATCTGCTGTTGAATCATACGGCCAAATTGAGTTATCGGATAGTGACAGTTATTCAGAAACCGTTTGTGATGTACGATGAAGAAAAAGGATGGACAGGATACTGCATGGATCTTCTGCATGAGATCAGAAATACATCAGGTATTGATTTTGAGTACACAATTGAAGAAGTTGCTGACAAAGAATATGGGAACATGAATGACAATGGCGAATGGAATGGAATGGTCAAAGAGCTCAAGGAAAAGAAAGCTGACATTGCTTTGGGAACATTGGCAGTAATGGCTGAAAGAGAAAATGTTGTTGATTATACAGTTCCGTACTATGATCTCGTTGGTGTAACGGTTATGATGCTCAAACCAAGAATCAGATCTTCACTTTTTAAATTCATTACGGTTTTAGAGGGTGATGTCTGGCTTTGTATAATGGCCGCGTACCTTTTTACGAGCTGCTTGCTGTGGATATTTGACAGATTCTCGCCTTACAGTTATCAAAACAATCAGGAAAAGTATAAGGACAGCCATGAGAAGCGGTTATTTACATTTAAAGAATGTCTCTGGTTTAGTATGACATCGTTGACGCCTCAAGGAGGAGGTGAAGTTTCGAAAACACTTCCTAGCAAAGTCATCACGGGTGTTTGGTGGATTTTTGGATTTGTCATCGTTGCTTCTTATACTGCAAATCTTGCTGCATTTCTTACATCCTCAAGACTAGAGATACCGATCGAATCACTTGACCAATTAGCTGCGCAGTACAAAGTTCAGTATTCCGCCATTGAGAATTCAACTGCTCACACTTATTTCCGCAGAATGGCTGACATAGAGCGACGATTTTATGAGTAAGATGATTATTTTTAAAAACTAAACATTTTAACGTTACGCGTTCGTTGATATTTGTCTAAAATATGTTTTCTTGAGGTGGTTGTTAAATAGAAAAATCCTAAATGACGGATTATACTAAATATGGGGGATCCCAGGTGAAGTAATCAAGGTTCAAAAAATTTTTTCTCCGATCACGCTTAAACTCGGGGCATTTGCAGTAGTCATAGATGATAATTTTTGGTAAAAGTATTTTTTCATTTAGTTTATTATTTTTTGAGGGGGAAGGGGGTGAAAGTTTTTGAGTTTTACGGCACATCGCATGTTTAAATAATTTTTTCTAACACACGCACCGAAAGTACATTATTTCTTACCTGTGTAGCGGGAAAAAAGTATGTTTTTCCGGCGAGCGGGAGGGAAAGTTACTTTCCCTCCCGTTGATGTCACTAAGCGGGAGAGAAAGTAACTTTCTCTCCCGGTGTTGTTACTTGTAGATAAAAATGAAAAGTTTGATTTAGTTTCATAATATAAATTGTTAATACTGAAGGGTTGTCGATTAACGAAAATTTATTTTGTAAACTTTCGACAAAATATTATTAACGTTTCATTAAAAAGTTAATAATTGTGTTCAATGCTTTATTAAATATTTGTACTTTCAGTTTACGTGTGTTAGAAAAAATAGTATGTGCAACTCGGGAGGAAAATGATTCCCATCTCGTGTGTTTACAGTTCTCTTCTTCGCTCGCAAGCACTCACAGGTGTCTGGAAAGAAAAAAAAGTAGGCCTACGATGCCAAGAAAAATCATTGTTACCTGGTAGTTCCTTAGCACCCCCTGAAACGAGAAAACTTAACCCGAAAATCGTAGCTGTTCATTTAGAAAAGTTTCACCCCTTTCTAGGGGGATTTTGAAATTTTTCCAAAAAAATTGTTTTTTAAAGGTCAGAAATAAGTGTTTAATTATGTTAATGATTTTTATTTATGTGAATGTGTTTGTAGGACCTCATTTTCTAGATACGAGCAATTAAAAAATTCTTTAATAAAAAAAACTAGAATTCGTAACTTTTTTTTATACAGGTGACGATTTTGGATAACTTAATTAACAGTGAATTTTGAATTTTGGAAAGTTAAAAATGTGTCTTTTCACTACAAAAAATATTGAGATGTCCCTTTTTGTTATTTCCGAGATATTAATTAATGAATTATTTAATGTTAATAAAAAATGCAATATTTTATAAACAAATAATGTTATCGTAATTCAGCGTTACCAACCTTACCACTTCTAATCAATCATATTAATAAAACATTTTTTATTTTGACATTTAAGAATAAAAAATTATTTAAACTTGGGATGTACTGTAAAAACCCTAAAACTTTCACCCCCTGTCCCTCATAAAATATAAGACTGATTGAAAATAGTTATTTATGTGGCAAGGGCGCAAAAGTAGAAAAATCGTGGGAGTTTGACGTACGAGCGAAGCGAGTGCGACAATCACGTAGAATTAAAGCTTTTATTGCTATTTTGAGTAAGTCCATCGAGTGAAAAGATTAATTTTGCACAAATCTTCTTAAACAGGTTTGATGGCATCGAAAACTTCTTTTGCAATTTGGTTTTTATGTTTGTAGTTTCCTAAATTTTTAGTAGCTTTTACTCTTCGCCAAGAGCACCATGAACTTTTATCGCTTGGGCAATTTTCATGCTGTGGTTTTTTGTCAGTTGATAGTTTATGGTACAAAGTTGCCTATATAGCATTTCTCATTTCTTGTACAGAATTTTTTTTTAAACCTTGATCACTTCAACTAGGATCCCCCATATATAAGAGAAATATTATATACATGATAAGTAGTCTGTTTTTGTATTAGTAGATGACGTCAATCTATAAATTTATTAGATGGAACTACAGATACCGTTCATTTGATAAGACGTTTCCATTTCTTTTTAACTTGTAACTAATTATTATTATTTGCTATTACGTTTTCACCATTCTCACACATATAAAATAAAATTTTTGACTTTACTAAATTTAGATTTTATAAAGGGACACTTTTCTTAAAATAAGTTTCCCACTGAATTTTTTTCTCAACAATTACAATTCCCAAAAACATATTATTTTTCCCATACCTTTTCAAAAACATGTATAATATTTTCTCAACGAAGTTATTCATGTTTGAAAACATAAAATTAGAATTTTTTCGCAACAAATTCGAATTCGCAAATCTAAGTTTTATTGAATAAAAAATGTAGTCCAAATAGGAACGCCAATTCGGTGTTTTCGCCAGTCTAGGCCAGGCAGCGTGGAATGCCAATTGGAACGCCCTGCCAGTTAAGTGGTTAAAGAAAATAATAAAGGAAGTTCACCTATGATATAGATCGGACGGTGGAGCGCCTTGGCTTACGATCACCGAGGTTAAGCACAGTTGAGTACGGTTAGTACTTGGATGGGTAACCGCCTCGGTGCTCGCTATAGCCCTGGTGTTTTCACTGTGATCGAGATATATCAAGCGGGATGTTTGACGTCAAGGATGTGTTTGTACATTTGTGATGATTATCCAAATATACATTTACAACTCGACTGTCAATAAACCGGCTGTGCTTGGGAGAGGTTTTCTGTAGTTTTCCTCTCCCCTGGCCAAAAGTCCAGTTAAATGGGAGTACTTCTAATAAAATTCTGTCTGAAGTCGCAATTTTAAAGAGTTAAAGAGTTCAAAGAGTTAAATAGAGTTGTGAGGAAATTGTAAAGACCCCTTAGGGGTATACAGTGAAATCAATATTAGTTAAATAATAAAGTATGTTCGAATTTTAACATTAAAATTGTCGGTTTATAAAATTTCTTAATTTAGAAAAGTTCGCTGAAAGTCTTGTTTCGTTTTCATACTGTGGCTTGAAGGGCCCTGGATTTATCCATCTATGCACCGGACTGTTTTGGGTTTTTCCTACAGACGGCGACGCCGATCGGAAGAGTAGGTGACAAGTTTCCCTGAATAATTGTTTATGACCCTGAATTGAACACATCGCAAGCATAGGATTATAACACAATGTGAGATATCCCGTCTCAGATACTGCGGAAAAACCCACATAAGATATCCCTGGGATATACAGCACGGATTACCCAGGGGATGGAAATTTGGATTCTGGCAAAAAGAGGCCAGAGAATCTGAAGACGTTGACGATAATAATATACTGTCTTACATACGTACTGTTGGATACCACATAATATTTTAAATTTGCAACTTGGTCAACAGTTAGAAAAAGTTCTTGTTGGAAAACAGGTTTTGAGAAAAGTGTCCTACAATCGATTTTATAATTAATTACAGATTTTCTAAAAGAAAATTCCGAATAATACTTGACTGGCTTAAATTTGAACATTTTGAAAATTAGGCACCTGAATAACATGATGGTAATAGGAAAATCCATTTGTCAGCTTCTTATTTTTTAACTTTTATTTACTTGCTTCGTTTCATTTAACATCTCACATGTTCTAATTACATTTTGTCTTTTTGAAATTAAGCGTTTGGAAAGGCATAACTCTCAACGACAGTCTCAGCAGTTTGGAAAGAGCAAAACTTGCTGTCTGGGATTATCCAGTAAGTGACAGATACTCAAAGATGTATGAGGCAATGAAAATGGCTACATTTCCAAAAAATCTTCAAGAAGCTGTAAACAGAGTTAGGAAAGTCAATACGACTAATGAATTCGCTTTTATTGGAGATGCAACTGACATCAAGTACTTGACAATTACGAATTGCGATTTAAAACAAGTTGGAGAGGAATTCTCAAGAAAACCGTACGCTATCGCTGTTCAACAAGGGTCACCACTTAAAGATCAGTTCAACAATGCGTAAGTTATTTCATTTCTTAAAATTCTATGATGCAATTATCATCTCTTTTGAAGTGCCAGTAAAAGTAGATATATTAATACTGAGCTTTCCTTCAACCTACTGCCTATTTTTGAGCTGGCCTAAGTCTAGAATAATTTTAAAAAATAATTTTTTATTATTTACAGAATTTTAATTTTGCTGAACAAAAGAATTTTAGAAAAACTAAAAGACAAGTGGTGGAATCGAAATGAAAATAGAAGAGATTGTAGCAAAGAAGGGGACAGAAATGAAGGAATCAGTATCCAAAATATCGGTGGTGTCTTTATCGTCATCTTTGTAGGCATCACATTGTCATGTCTCACAATGTTGATCGAATATTATTATTATCGATGTTGCACTAAGGCAGGAAAGAAGATTAAGAAACCTGTTATCGCAGATAACCCAAAAAGTGGGTCTCTTAAATCCTTGACGCCAATCGCTTTTACAGTTCGACCAGCTCCCATAAAGGATTTGGATCTTGAACCTCGATATAGAGTGAAATATTAATTTTAATCGATTTAGTTTCTTACCTCTATCATGCAGAAAATAATAAATCGGTTTAAATCATATTCACTCTTTTAAACATTCATTCCACTTAATTCGCTTTTATTGTCTTCTATTTCTTCAATTAACTGTTTCTATATCCATTCGTAGATCCTTTTCCATAATATGTATATCTGAATATCGCATTTATAAATTATAAGCTAACATACATTTTAAGATTTTTTTTGTCTTCTTTACTTTACTGTTCTATAATAACAGTTTACTATACGAAATAAGAAAACCAATTTAAAATCACCATTAAGTATTTACACGCATACATCAATGCCTTGAACCACATTTAAAACAATGGGCGAAATCTAGAAAACCATTGTTTATAGGCTCTTCTCATGTTTTTTAATCATGTTTATCAAGATTGAAACATGGATAAAAGAATTGCGAACTATGGTCAAAATATAATATTTTTTATTCGCTTAAAATTTTAAGATTTGAACCTTCACCGAAAGCTAGCAAACTATCGTATTTGCAAAACAAGTTTAAAATTTGTTTATTTCATTACCATTGAGCTTCCTCATCATGATAAACACTTACATATTATTAGTTTTAAAAAAATTCAAAATTTTAATTTTTTGTTCAAATTAAAAATAGCGATCAATTTTATAAATATTGGTAAAATGTAAACTTTATATATACATCAATCGATTTGTTTTGATGCACGGAATATAACTGTGACAAAATTTATTAAAAATCTTCATGAAGAAAAAAGTTATTTCAAAAAATACGAAACACGATTTTTTCAAAAATTAAAAAATGATTTAATTTGTAGATTTTAAGTAAAATATAGACTTTATATAGGTTAATCAATTCGTTTTAATGTGAGCAATCAGTTTTTTGGACAAAAAATTTAAATTACAGTGTAAAAATTTTTTGGTTAAAAAACGTATTTTCGAATTTTTGACAAAGTGAGATAAAAAAATTATGTGGGCATTTTTGGAAATCTTTATGTCTGATTTTAGCTAATGATGACTACAATAAGCCTTAAATATGCCCATCAAAGCGTGTTGGTTAGGAAGAAAAATATTTTTATTCTTTGGCCATAGTTCGCCAGATTTCTAGAAAGTTGTAACTCTTAAAAATCTGGACCAGAAAAAGTCAGTATTTGCAAAAAAATAATGTTTGCTATGTTTTACCCATAGTCCTAAATATGAATCAAGGCTTACTTACCGTGGCTGAAGATTACGGCCATACTTTAGCCCATAGTTCATTTTTCAAGCAAGTAAACAGAATGTTTCAGAGATATCTTTGGGACACTCGTACGATATTATGAAGGATACTAATTGTAAGGCAATGATCTGTTACTCAGACTAAAACAAAATCATTATTTCACTAGAAAAGCGCCAATTAATCTGGTTTAACATTATCTGAGCATACTTAACCAACTGAAACCAATGCCCAGATAAATAAAAACATTTAAAAAGTTATTATCACAGGAACTAACTTAACCCGTCTCTCCATTACAACTTAATGTTATTCTTTTTTTTGTGCAACAGTTATTTTCTAACACAATGTCTTCAAAGAAATATTTAAAACCAGACTACTTTTTCGTATTAAAAACTTTAAACGCGTTATTGTCAAAACGTGTTTTTTGCACGCTCAAAGTGGGTAAGTAGACCCAAATAAGAGACACTTTCACAAAAAATTATTTAATTCCTTTTTTTATGATTAGTTTTGTCGACGGTAGGTAGTAAATATCGAAATGTACAAAAATAAATGCTATTAGTCACTGTGCGCCGTGCAATGCAAATCAGTAAATTTTTAAACGACTAAACGATTTTCAATAACATACTTGAGTATTTCACCAAAAAAAATTTATTTTTTGACTTTGGTTATTATGATTTGAAATCAGCAGGTTGTATGGCACAAAACCAAAGGTCTGACTACAAACGCCTGTAATGCCGCCATTTTGTAATATTTTTAATTAAAAACAATAATGGGAGATCCACCATTTTGTATTTTTAGAAAATGACGTCGGATTCGTAATTAGCGATCCCAATAACCCTCGAGAAGTAATTTTCAGGACTTCTCAAATACACGTAACGTCAGTGGAAATAAAACGACCGATGGTCATAAACATTTACGCTTCTTTGTCCACAAATAAACACTTTAAATGAAGCTTAAAATGTATGATTTTAATAAACAAATTAAACAAAATGCCTTTTTTTCGATGTCTAGATATTATTAATTAATTAATGTCAATAAAAAATGGAATATTTTACAAACAAATAAAGTTACCGTAATTTTGAATTTACAAATTGCAAATTAACATATTTCTGCATCTAACGAGCCCTACAAGTAGTATTTTTGATAACTAGATTCTTAATAAATAATTAGTTAGCATTGCAAAAGAATATTTTTAAAAAATTTTTTCATTTTAATGGGTAGATCCCCAGGTGAAACGATTCTACGGAGACTACTCCACGGAAATTCCACACGGAATTCCGTAAAAATTATATACGGAATTCTGCAAAATTTTTGAAAGAAGTTCTTTTGTAATTTTGCGCATTTTTTATAAGAATTACACACATAATCTCTATACAAAATTGCACAAAATTTTTGTTAGAATTTCACAACAGTACACTGAAAAACATTTAGCCGAAATCCTCAACTACCTTCAGTTAACTGACTTGAAAGTAGTAAAAGTAACTACTTTTTTGATTATTTTAACTATGTGCGTGTAGTCAATTTAACTATTTTTTATGGAGTTAAGAATTAGTAGTTAATTGTACTTAACAAAAGTAGTTAAATCAACTTCAAAAATTAGAACAATTACAAAATCTCCTTGACCCAACTAAATTCTTAGTTCTTTTAACTACTTTTTAATAGTCCATACAACTTTTTAAATTCAGTTAAGGACCTATTGAACTATTCAGGGTAGTTAAAAAGTAGTCAAATCTACTAGTTTTTTATAGAGTGTATTTTTTACTGATTTTTTTGTAATTTTAAAATAACTGCTGGTGGATACACTGAAAAAAATTAGTCGAGAAATTCAACTACCGTTAGCTAGTTGACTGAAAAATAGTAAATTTCTTTTGGAAAACGACAAGACATTAATTAATCTATCATAAATTCTATATTATATCCACCCGGAACATCATCGTCGACTAGTTTTCGGTATAGTAGCAGCAGTTATTTTAAAATCACAAAAAATCAGCAAAAAATAAAGTTGTGGAATTTTATTGAATATTTGTGTAATTCTGTATGGAATTCTTCCAAAAAATTTCGCAAAATTACGAAAGAAATACTTTCAAAATTTTGCGAAATTCCGTATAGAATTTTTGCGGAATTCCGTATGGAATTTACGTGGAGTGATTTCCGTAGAATCGTTTCACCTGGGTAAGGTCTTATTTATATAACAAATTTGTTTTCTTATAATTTTTTAATGAAAAATTAAAACGTTTTAAATAATTTTTTAGTACTAAAGACGGTCCGGAAAGACTCGAATACTACCGACTGTATCCACTGTGAGCTTGGACTAAGTTCAACCCAAAAATTCTTGGTCATCCAATTTTTTTCTAATATCGTTTCAGTGATGCCACGTGATAATTTTAAGATTAAAACGAAAAAAATTCATGTATAAAATTTTAAATAAACTCAATTTTCAATTTTTTAAGATTATTTTATAGATAGATAGATAGATAGATAGATCGTTTAGTCATCTATAATATATAATAACAAAAAATTAATAAAATTAATTATAAAGAAGTGTAGTCAGGGTTGGACATAGTTTTAACTTTTCTCTATACCTTCCCCTGTAGGCCGAATTTTGAGATTTCTCGCATATGGTTCAAAAGATCTACTAAAATGCAATTTTTTGCTGAATATTGTAAAAATAGTTGACCAAAAATTTCGGAGTTATAGTCAATTGAAAAAAAAGTAGTCAGAGTTGAATCAGGTAGTCAGGGTTGAGCCACTGTAGAAAATCCTTCATAATTGCAAAATTTTTGGGTGGCTCAACCCTGTCTCACGCGTCGTTTAGCGTACATCCCACACAAAAATAAACGCGTGATCCAAACACCATATTACGTTCCACATTTTCATATAACATCTTAATAAACAATTTTAGTCAAGTTACTTTGTCTTCGACATATTTTTTCTGTACTTAATTGTCTTCTTTTGAAACAACAAAAAAGTTTTTTGTTCATCGTATATCAGTGACTCGCATAATACGTCTTTATTGCTCGCACACTTCACTGCAACGTATGTGAAAAGTTCCCTGACTTTGCTATGAAATACTTACATACAAAGACAGATGGCTCTAGTGTGATAAAGAGCAAAATAAACGCGATGGCTCAACCCTGACCATTGTCTAACCCTGACTACTCTCCCCTACATATAAAATAAATCAGAAGCTACTTCGAAAATAAATAGATTACGTTTGTTCTATAACTAATAAAAGTATAAAAAAGGAGGATAGTTCTCGAACGTTCTCAAAAATCTTAAAATACAAAGAAATTTTCTCATACAATTTCTACACTAAGACGTTCAAATAGGATCAGTTGCAAAAAATTGATAAAGTTTTTACTGCTGTGTTCCCTCATGAACCGTCAGCTAAGAGTCAATTATAAGATTATTAGAATTAAGATGTTTTTTACGTGTCGAGATAGTAGGAACTGTTCATAATCTTTTAGAATAATCTCTTTGATCACGGATACGTTGTCCAGAGATAGGGAACGCCACTGGGCTAATCTTTCTCCACCCTAAAAAAATACTTACAGTTTCCAGAACCAGTTAGGCCCAGAACTAGGCCTCCTCAACGCTAGGTCTCTTAGTTTCATAAATTACTGCCTGCGATACCTAGAATTGTCCATTGAAGAAATTTTACAAATCCAGAACAGTGTTAAAGAAAAGATCTTGTAAGCCAAATGAGTTGACCCAGTTACGTCATTTTAGTGCAAAATAGATCAAAGTTGAGATATTTTTGAAAAATTGATATTTTTACGTCTGTT